TCTCTTCTTCAATTTCGTTTTTTCTAGTTATCGTTGAACCTAGATACCTAAATTTATCTACCTGTTCAAACATATTACCATCTATATCGATGTCACCAGTAGTATCGCCATTTTTGCAGCTAACCATATATTTTGTTTTATCCACGTTTATTTCGAGTCCTAGTTCTTTCCCGGCTTTCATTAACGTTGTCGTATTTAGTTTTATAGTTTCAATGTCTTCGCTTAACAGTACCAGATCATCAGCATAGCCCAGCACGGATGTTGTCCCACCCAGATCCAACCCTTTCTCGGTTCGCATTACCTCCCTAATGGCATGTTCTAATGCCAAATTGAACAGGACAGGCGAAAGTGAATCCCCCTGTTTTAAGCCCGAACGAACCTCAAATTTTTCGGACAAATTATTACCGATTCTAACTTTATTGAGTGTCTCCGTTAAGCACATCCTGACTAGATTTACTAGTTTTTTTGGAATCCCCTGCTCAATTAGAATATTATACAGTTTCTGGCGGTCAATAGAATCGTAAGCCTTTTTAAAATCTATATACAGCTGGTGAACAATACCGTTGTACTCCAATTTTTTCTCTAATATTTGCCGTAAAGAAAATATTTGATCAATAGTCGAACGATTCCGTCTAAATCCGCATTGGTAGTCTCCGATAATTTCCTCGGCGTATTCCGTGATTCGACTGGTTAAGATTGAAGTGAATATTTTATAACATACCGGAAGGAGTGAAATTCCTCGATAGTTATTACAATCCGTCCTCGGACCCTTTTTGTGAATCGGAATAAGAATAGAATCTTTCCATTCTTCAGGTAATTTCTCGTTCACCCAGATCTTTTTAACCAACCGATGTATTTTAGAAACTCCAGCTTCCCGCATGCCTTAATTAGTTCAGTAGGAATATTATCGATTCCCGCTGCTTTATATGATTTTAATTTTCCGATAGCTACTTCAACTTCCTCTTTACTTGGTCCTTCTATTAACGGTTCAGCACTCTGGTACTCAGAAGGAGGACACAGATCATAATTTCCCGTATTTAAAATATTGTCAAAGTGGTCCTTAAACTTATTCAATATGTCAACCGGATCGGTCAGAATATTGTTATTATCATCCCTGATTCCAGACGTTACGGGCCCTACATATTTACGTGATCTGTTTATACCTTTGTACATGTCTCTTACGTTATTTTCGATTCTATTAGTTTCTATTTCAATTATTTTATTTTTAAGATACTCCCTTTTTTTATTTTTGAGCAATTTTGTCGTTTCGTTCTTTGAGATTCGGAAGTATTCCAGATTGTCTTCGCTAGGATTATTTAGAGCTTTTAATTTAGCGGCTTTTCTTTTTTCGCACATGTTTAAGCAATCTTCATCAAACCACGGTTTGTTATTCTTAGTTTCCTTTTTTCCTAGGCACGAGTTACCGACCGCTTTTATATTATCCCTGATCTCTACCCATAACTTGTCAATATCCTCGTGGTCCTCGTCAGGAAGCTCTAAAGCTTCAAACCTATTCTTAACATCTAGCTCGAATTGGTTTCTAATTGATGGATTTTTTAATTTTTCCAAATTAAAATTCTCAAAATCGAAACGGTTTTCTTTTCTCTTTTTTATATTAAGTTTTTGTCGAAGTTTCGCGATTACTAATTCATGATCCGACCCACATTCTGCTCCGCGATAAGACCGTACGTTGATTATACTGCTTTGCCAACTGTGTTGTATCAAGACATGATCTATTTGATTTCGTGTTTGCGAATCCGGTGATGTCCAAGTATATTTATGAATATCCTTATGTTTAAACGTCGTACTTTTAATTATCAGGTTTTTCGAGATGGCAAAGTTTATCAGACGGATCCCATTATCATTACTATATTCGTGCAAACTTTCTTTACCAATCGTCGGAATATAAACTTCTTCCCTTCCTACCTTTGCGTTCGCGTCACCTACAATTATTTTCATGTAGTTTCGAGGTAGTTTATCATAAACCCATTCGAGTTTATCGTAAAATTCACTTTTGACTTCATCGTCACTGTCTTCGGTCGGACAATGTATGTTTATTAATGCGATTTTAAACCAACGTCCCTGAAATATAGCTACCGAAATTCTGTCACTAAAGAATTGTACGTCGCTCAAAGCGGATAGTAATCTACTCCTAATTAGAAATCCTATACCTAAACAGTGATTCCCGCTTCCTCTGTACCAAATAGTGTACTTTCCTTCCCTCATCGAGCCCTCCCCTGGCCAGCGAACCTCTTGCAGAGCCACGACATCCAAATTGTACCCATTTACCTCATTCGCGACCGATTTTAGCCCCCCTGCTGTGTTTAAACTCCTTACGTTCCACGTACCAATATTTAAATCCCTATATTTCAACTTGCACCATGAATCCCCTAAAGCAGTCCCCACCCGGAGACCCGAACGGGGGACTAGTTTACCTCCGGATAATGAGCGTTTTACCTTAGGGAGATCCATGACTTTTTGTGGTGTTTGGTGAACTAAAGATATGTGAGTAGGGCGTTCAATCCTACGTCACACCCTCCAGCAAGTCTGGTGGGCCCCTACCTCCAGCAAGTCTGGAGGTCCCCTCCCTCCAGCAAGTCTGGAGGGCCCCTCTCATTGTTGGTCAGCGAGTCCATCGGACTTAGCCGGGAGGAACTTCCAAGGAATTTCCACCGACCATCCCCACATCCGCCACCCGTGGGACGCTCCCCATACGCGGTAATGAGCCCGCGCGAGGAAAGTAGACCTTTAAATTGGATAAATTCAAAAAACTTAAATAAGTCAAAATGAAATGGCGTAATCATGAAATGGAGGTTATTTTCAAAATCTACGGCTCAAGAAACATAAAAGTAGACCTTAATATGGGATAAATTCGAAAAATTTAAATAAGTCAAAACGCAGCTGCGTAATCATTAAATGGAGGTCATTTTCAAAATCTACAGCTCCGGAAACATAAAAATACACCCTTACATCGAATAAATCAAAAAAACTTAAATAAGTCGAAACGCAGTGGCGTAATCTTAAAATGGAGGTCATTTTCAATATCTACAGCTCCAGAAACATAAAAATACACCCTTACATCGAATAAATAAAAAGAACTTAAATAAATCGAAACGCAGTGGCTTAATCTTAAAATGGAGGTCATTTTCAAAATCTACAGCTCCGGAAACATAAAAATATACCCTCATATCAAAAATATCCGAAAAACTCAAATAAGTCGAAACACAGTGGCTTAATCTTAAAATGGAGGTCATTTTCAAAATCTACAGCTCCGGAAACATAAAAATATACCCTCATATCAAAAATATCCGAAAAACTCAAATAAGTCGAAACACAGTGGCTTAATCTTAAAATGGAGGTCATTTTCAAAATCTACAGCTCCGGAAACATTAAAATACACCCTCATATCAAAAATATCCGAAAAACTCAAATAAGTCGAAACGCGGTGGCCTAATCTTAAAATGGAGGTTGTTTTCAAAATCTACGGCTCCAGAAACATAAAAGTAGACCTTTATATTGGATAAATTCTAAAAACAGTGGCGTAAACATAAAATGGATGTCATTTTCAAAATTGACTGATCGGGAAACATAAAAATACACCCAGATATCGAATAATTCAAAAAAACTTAAATAATTCGAAACTCAGTCACGTAATCTTAAAAAGGAGGTTATTTTCAAAAACTACTCATACGATAACAGACCCACACATCGAAAAATTAAAGATAATTAAATAAATAAAAAAAGGTTGAATTTGAAATGGAAAAGGTTGAATTTGACTTGGAAAAAGTTTAATTTGATTTGGAAAAGGTTGAATTTGACTTGGAAAAGGTTGAAATTGACTTGGAAATGCTATATACACATTTTTCCAAAACTTTTATCCTGCGATTTGATTATGGTCATAGCAAATGCAGCTATTAATAGGAACGTTGTTCTTTGAAAGTTGAATGTAAGTAGTGTCAGAAAATATTAAATTAATTCTTGGAATTAAAATTCTTTAATTTAAAGTAGCCCCCGTTAATACTACAGTCTCATTCTTGTTCCATTAGCTAATGCTTGTGCAGTATTTAAGTTAACAATGAGTATAACTATAGAAAATATTTTTAAATTTAATTTATTAGGTATCATTCCACCAACATTACATGATATCATCTCTTCAAATAATAGACCCAATTACCTCAGTAAATGAAAAGTTTTCGATTTATCAAGAAACAAAATAAAAGAAATCGAACTTGGAAGGGAAAGAAAACGTACTAAATGTTTAAAATGACATAGCTCTGCAACAAATGTTCCGATTTCGATGATTTTTTTTTTTTTCATTTTGTAGGGAATTCAGGAAGCTTTCGAATAAATATTGGTATTATCAATAAAAAAATGTGTACTTTTTGAGTTATTCGCAAATAAAATACTGAATTCATCATAAAAATGTATGCAGCTTGTTTTCGGGAAAGTATGTTATATACATAAATTATAAATGTTTCAAGGGGAAGACTTTAGCCAAGTTTCATTGAAATGGTTGAAGCCATATTGGCGCTACAGTCTAAAGCGAATCACGTTTTTCGGCCGCCATTTCGAAAGGAAAGGCCCGATGATAATGAAACATATAGAAAAAAACTTCTAAATATTATTGCAACGTTGTGTCAAAATTAAAAAAAAATCGGTGAAGAATTTTCGGAGGTAAGGCGTTTTGAACAAACTACCATTTATATTTTTGTTCACATACTATTTAATATTTTTATTTATTGATAACACTAAAGCTCGTCAATATCTATTAAACAAAAAAAGAATGAAGAAAATCGGTTGAATAATATAGGAGTAAAAGGGGCTGAACCGATTTGTGTTTGCCTATTTATATAATGATTATGAATTTTCTTTCTACTTAAATGTTCCTCTATGTATTTTCCAATAATTAATCAGTATTATAAATTTTTTTTAGAAATATTTAGTTTTAAGAACTCAATTTATTGTGTTTTTTTAAATTAGTTATTCTATGTTTCTTATAGTTTGAGGAAATGATGGACAGGCTCGAAAGTAACTGGACTCAAAACTTCGCCTCACAAAATAGAAAAGAGCTTCTCCTCAAAGATGACGACGAGCTCTCGATAGCTATCTTCGACTATTGGCTTAGTAAACGACTCGCTAAGGTTAGTTGGTTGAAAGTCTTGATATCTTATCTGATTATATTTGTTGTTTAGCGATTGTTGGCATTTTATTTCATGTAGGAAGATTTTTAAAATTATATTTGATATGAAATGAACAAGTTCTTTATTATTCTGGGACAAAGTCTCTAAAGAATAAAATTTAGAGTGGACTATATAATGCACTTCACTATATGTGCAAATTATTGTGGGTCCTGATCTTTAATTGTAGTAAAGGTGAAGAGAACTGTATGGGCCATGGTTACCATGAGAAGTATGTCACTTGTAGTTGTTTAGGTTTTAAAAATGTTAGTATTGCTTTTTATCATAGTCTAAATAAATATATTATAATAAATCTCGTCCCGAGCGTCTACAACCCACACGACGGCTCTGGTATAATGTATATTCAAAGTCAATTGAATGAAAATAGCCCTGAGATCCTTAGGTCAGGTAGGATAATATAAAAAGAAGGTTTTAAGTAAAACACGTCTATGGGACATTTTTGATTTTCCTGGTTGTTTTTCAACCTATTTTAATCTTGATAAGTGTGAGAACTACAAATCAAGGCTCCTGTTGTTCTACGCCAACCCAACAGGTCTTAGTGAGTGCAATACTGTATTAAAATAATTTTATTGGAAGCTGAGTTTTACTGCTTAACTAAAGGGATATTTTTTTTCCCTGTGGGGTAAGCTGATTATTTATTAAGCAAACTGTCCCTTTAATATAGTCCTATATATATATATATATATATATATATATATATATATATATATATATATACATATATATATATATATATATATATATATATATATTATATATATATATATATATATATATATATATATATATATATATATGTGTGTGTGTTTTACCTGAGACGGTTATTACCATGAGGTATGTCTTTAGCTTTTGTTAGATATAGATTGTATATATGTAAATTAATTAGAAATAAAGCTATTATTATTATTATGTTGCTTCATCGATTATTTTTGTTAAATATACTCTAGCTAGGTTCCTATATGTACAAAATACTTCTTTAAACTTTTTCCTGATATTTAATTAGTAGGTAATTTACTTAATTTGTTCCATCGATTGGTTTTTGTTGATTGGTATTAATCATACATGGAAGAAAAAGCAAAGCCTTGTTACCTTGATACTGGCGTTAATGGAAATAGAGCTTTTTCATAATTTCATAGACGAAATATACTGTTGGCAGTTTTGGTAGAAATTTATCGCTGTTATCAGAAATATTCTTTAAGGTGATGAAAGTATGAAGAATCACTGTCATGGTTTAGGGCTGCTCCTTTCTCCTCCGGTTTAGTAGATCAACTAGAGCAAAAGACAAATAGAGAAAACACTACCATACTATGATAACTGTTAATGCTGGAAGTTAAATAATTATATACAAATAAAACAAACCACATATGAGTAAAGATATATTATTTTTAGTTGCAATGAATTAAAATCATAAGGAAACGGCTCAACAGGAAATTTATTTTCAAGACATGTAACATTTAATATCTCATAGGCGGAGTATGCTGGCTGAACCTCTTCAATTTGGAAGGCCTATGCATTCTTTCTCCGTGGAATTAAAATGGAACACAATTAACATTCTTGATACGGATTGTACTTTTGGAAGGATGCTAAAGTTTTCTCCATGGACAGGTGCATAAGGCACACTGGTCCTTTAGAAAGGATGCTATGTGTGCCCTATCTCTCCCTATTCCTGAGGCTTTTGCGTGACAGAAATAAATTTTTTCAACTTCCCCCATGACACTTGCCTTCAGTATCCTTTTAGCTTTAAAAGGTAATATTAGTAGCATCAATCAAATCAGCCGTCTGGAAATTGTTTGTGAACAGTTAAAAAAAAATATCAATATAAAACTATGTAAAGAAATATGCACCTGTATGTGAGGTATTTTCATATAATGAAACCCACCATGAAAGTGTTAAATTACAGTTTGGTATTTACAGAAAAAAAAATTAAACTAGCACGAGTGTTAGAATAAATTGATATTATTTTTTATATAACTAATAACTCTTATCTCAGTTATAAACCTCATATTTTTAAAAATGTCCAATATGATTTTGCTGTGGATTGAAAAACTTAGACTTTATTTTCCATTTTTCCTTCTAATCTATAAGAAGTTCTATTTTTTATTCTACATTTGCAGCAACCTCAGCCATTGGTACCTTGTGTCCGAACGGAAGCCAACAATAGGGTATTGGGTGGCAGTGGTAACGCTAACTCTGATAACAACCCTTACCTGGCGTTTCGTAGAAGGACAGAAAAAATGCAGACCAGAAAGAATCGTAAGAATGACGAAATGTCTTATGAGAAAATGGTCAAGCTGAGAAGAGATCTATCGAGAGCGTTACAACTCCTTGATCTAGTCAAGCGGAGGGAGTCGGCAAAAAAGGAGTTACTGAAGCTTTCTATACAGTTATACGAAAAGAGGTTCGTAATATAATTTTCTAATCTTTGTTTATACTGTTTTGACTTAAAATTCTTAAAATTTTGTTTTAATAAAAATCATTGAAATATATTATAATTATTGAAAGTATGCGTCTCATTATATCAGGGAAAGTTTAGAAAAGATTTATTTAATTGTTAATTCTCTAAAAGTTAGAAGAAGAAATTAACAAAAGAACTTGATGGAAATGTATTTTCCTTACATTGTTTGTCACTACTGTTAATCAGATCCTACACTGTCAATCAAAATAACATTCTGATTGATTATGTAAGGTTAAGATTGTTGTACTGGTGGACAGGACTGAGGGATTTAGAAAAATTCTTAAAATCAAAGCTTCAATCATGAGAAGTGGTGGGGAGGCTAAGCTAACTATAAGGTAGATTAGTTTACCTTGCTTCACAATCAATGTACATACCTGATTTTCATTTAAAATAAATAGCTTTTCATATCCCCTAGTTTATATTTTTAAAAACTATCTTCAACTAGTTTTTTTTAATTATAATTAACTGGGCGATAAATTAAAAAAATAAAAATGGAAAATTACACATTTAACTTGTAGAAAAATAATATTTAACTGTTGTTTATGATACTTGTTTGTTGTTTCTCTCAATATATTTATTATTTATGCAATACTTTTCATTAATTTTTGTAAGTATTAGGGAGACCAGAAAGTAATTACATTATTACATTAAATTCAAAGAGATAAATTGTTAAAAGATTTTATTTTTAATCAACGATGTAATTACCCTCATTACCAACAATGTTTTGCCATCTAGTCTAGGCAAAATTATTTTATTTTAATTTTGCCAGCAAAATTAAAATAAAGTAATTACTATATTTTAATTTTGCCAGCAAAATTAAAATAAAGTAATTACTATATTTTAATTTAGTATTTATCTGACCGCACCCCCGACTAACTCCTTCTCATATTATATCAATGGTCAACCATCTCTACATCAAAATATATTAAGTTTTTGTGCAAAATATATAAGAAATGGCATTTTGGATATAATCCAAATTGGCAAATCTTTTGCCACTTAGAGAGTTGTGAAGCGACTGGAATAAATGGAAATCCGATGGTGCAACATCTGGCGAGTATGGGCCACTCATGAGACAGTGCCTCCCACTCCTATTTATTAACTGTTTGACTGAGTTCGTCTTTCGCAGTGCAGTTTTTTAAGATAAAATTTTTTGTTGACAATCGCTGTTCACTTTTCAATCAAAGATTTATTTACCTGATCCAGTTGTTCACAATAAAGGTCTACATTCACAGTTTGTCCAGGTTTCAGCACTTCAAAATGAATAATCCACCAAACAAAGGGCATTTTTGGAGTGAAACCTGGCTTAGCAGTACTTTGTGACGATTCATTCAACTGCCTTTTATGTTTTGGATTAACATAAAGGACTTATTTTTCATCTCCAGTGATCAAGTCATTGTCTAACGTTGTTGGTCTTCCTGATCGATTCAAGTCTGAAAGATCCTTATTACTAGATTTGAACTTGGAAATCCACTTATGGGATTTACGAATGTCTAATGCATTTAGATAAACATCGCAAATGTTTTTGGTAGCAAGTTACTACTCTTGCGAAACTTAAAAAGCATGCAATGCCGGATATGTGCCTCTTCTGATATTTGACTGACCATTTCTCTCAAGATTGCAACAAAAAAAAAATTTAATATAATTATTTACAACTAATAAAGTCACTCTAACCTTAAAATATTTTTGCCACGATTTTGATGTTCACAATGAGCTGACAAATGACGATCAAATTGTGACGTGTACAGAAATGACATTAATTTCCGGTCCATGTAATAGTTGATTTTATATTTTTTTAACTTTTGTCTAAACGATTTTCACGAACTATGTAGTAATTATTATATCTCTACTTTTTTTTTTTTTTTTTTTTTTTTCTTGACGCCCAATGTTATAAAAGATAATGGCCAATTAAGCTTTTTAAAGTTATTTTAAAGGTTCGCAGTGCTTTAAGCCAAAGGAAAAAAAAAAAAAGCTTTTTTGATGAAACACATTATTATTCATAGACAATGCACCAGATCCATACTGCCTGTTATTTCAACGTCAATAGAGTTAAAATGATATCAGTCTGATTGATAAGTATAGGGTCCATCATGATTAAAGTAATTCTTGTCAGTCTCGTGACTGTCATTCATGACTGATGGTGAAGAGTCTTCTTTTGCATGATTGATTAAGCGAGACTACTTTAAGTTTAATAAGCATAAGTATATTTTATAAATATATAAATTATAATATTTATGTTCTATATAAATTATATTATTTGCAGGTACGAAGCTAATGACTTCTCTGGAAGCATATTGAATGAAGTTTCAACCTTCAAGACTGTGAGGCCTGCTTTCGCTCCAATATATTCGAACCAGTACAACTCTTCTACACACAATCATCATGCTCCCTCGTGGCCCCTCAAACCTCCCAAGGTAATCTTTACTATTGTAAATTGAATTCATGATTTGTAAAAATGTGTTATCATAAACAAGTATTGTTAATGTTATGTTATTCAATACTTAATTTCTCTTCTTGATTTACTGTTTTTTAGTTTATCCTAAACATTGATGAGAGTTACGTTCTGCAAAAATCATGTGAATCTTAAATTGACGAATGCTTTAACATAGGGGTTATATTTTATGATTGTCGACAAAGAACGTACTTTCTTTTATTATCTGTTTTATAAAAAGAAAGGTAATTATAAGACCGTGGGAAGACAGCTGAACAAGCATTCCAGACTATTTATTATCCAGATTACTTGACTGAGGCTCCCAATTATCCTCAGTGAACAATCTTATCTTTGTTATGTATTATATAATATAAGGGTGTGGGGTAGCTCAGTGGGTAAGCACTTCCAAAGCTCAATGTCCTGGGTTCGGATCTGGCTGATATTAGGTAATTATTTATACTGTTTCATCAGCCGTGGATTGAATCTGGGTTCTGAAGACCCTCTTGGGCCACACACTGCCTCTATAAAATGGCTGTGAATATTGCGTGATCCTGGCCAGATCACCTCTCTGCACAACCATTGGCCTTTGAAACAGTACTTCCTTACCAAGTACTGAACCCAAGACCTTTCATGGTTTGTAATGGTACAGGTTTTTTTTTTGTTATATATCACAAAATACTAATAAAACATTTGTGAATTTGCGGGAAACAACTATGGAACCCTGCCAAAACCTGAAACATCCAAAATTCATTTGTTCTAGTCAAAAGCATACCATTATATGAGATGAATGAGTTACTATACAAATATTTGAGTATCTTAGCAATTTCAAATACTACTACAGAATGCTTCCAAAATGTTAATCACTGAGTAACTAAAACATACATATACCTTTTAGCTCAAAGACTTAGATCCAACATGAACCAACAGATCCTACCTTGGCGAAGAAATTTACTCAATTAAATGCTATTAGGATTTGAATTAAATTATGCTTATTGCAAAAATAATGTACAGATGGCAAGTAAGTTGCTTTGTTCCTAAAGTAAATTTTTGTATAATAAATACATTTTTTTTTTCTTTATATTTATATTACATCCAAAAACGATCAACTTTCTATTAACGAGACAATATGTGTATTGTTTTCTTACTTAAAAGCATTTGTTCAAGTGTATTTAAAAAATAGTAAATCCAACCCAATTGATCTCATTTTGATTTTGCTTACATAATTGTGTACAAAAGCACATTATAAAAAAAAATAGTAAAAATCTTGTTAGTAACAAATGGCTCAAATTTATAAATTGAATATTGTAATGTGTCATTTTACAATGTTTTATATATTTTTGTAAGTTTTATGTAGTTATTTTATTTAGCCGTTTTGTTCAAAATTGGTTTTTTAAATAATTATAAAAGGCTTAGCGAACCCGAAGGTTCAATGCTGACACCACCAATTGCTGTCTACACATCTCCCTCCACTGGTATACATCCAAACCCAAACCTGCCAGATCAGCTTTAATGCAATTTTCACTTAGGTCTATACCTCGCATGTTTACCAGTTGGTACAGCACATATTAACCTTTTAGGAATTGTTTGGTTACTAAGCTGAAAAATTTTACCCGCCCATTTCATTCATCGCATTGTAATTAATCAGATACAGTTTACGCAATGCGGCATTGTGTAACTGTCCAAATTCTCCGGTTTATTTTTTGTTTTTGTTTTCCTCTTCCTTGCCTTTTAGGCTTCATGGGATTTTTCCCGGTCTGGGGGAGGGGGCGGGAGAATTATGCCGAGTTACAATTCCCACCGAGGGGGTAGACCGAAGTGAAGGTGGGAAGATTGCATTAAAGCCCATCTGAAGGGACTGGGTTTGGACCGTGAACAGTGGAGGGAGGTGTGTAATAAGCGATTGGTGGTGTCGGCATCGAACCTTCAGGTTCACAAAGCCTTTTATTATTATTATTATTATTAAAATTCCCACGTGTCCCAGGATTTGAACTCGTAATATTTTACTATCTAAATTCGGTAATCAGGTTTCCGTACAACATGCAGTGCTGTTTGCACACGCATTAACTCACTCGGTCACCCCAGCCTTTTTTCTTCTTCCAACCGGTTGTGTCTACATCATTTCTGAGAGTTTGCAATGTTCCATTCTTTCTACATTATGTAGCCATCTTAATCTTCCCCTTTTTATCTCATGCATTATATTGCTTCTTCATTCCTTCATCCGCCAAAGACTTCTTTCTTAAATTGGACTAAAAAAACCTGTAGCACTACAACCCATGATGGATTTTGAATTCAGTATTTTTAATAAATTCTATTCAAAACTTTTCTTATTAATTTTGTTTTGTTTATTTCTCTTAGTTTATCTCCTTTATTTCATTTATTTATTTTATTCAAACACATAACCTAGCTTAATCTTTCATTCCATGTTTGTTTCAGGAGGATCTTAATACTGTAAGGAAAGAAAAAAGACAGTATAAGAAAAGGAAACATAAAGGAGGGACGAGCAGCAGTAGCGTAGGCCCCGCTGCTAACAGTACTGCTGGCGGTGGCGGCGCAGCCTCTTCTGCCGAGGAAGATGTAGAAAGCCCTGTCTCTCCCCAATTAGCCTTTCCTTTCCATAGGACGCCTTTGACGACGTATCATGCGGTAATTTTTTTTTTTTTTTTAATTTGGTTTTAGCTTAATTTTATCTAAGAATCCAATTAGCTGTTTGGTTTCATATCGAAATAGGAGTTTCAAAATATATTTGTAATGACATTATTTTATCTCAAATGTTCTTATTCTATTTTAGAATGAAAAATACATTCAGAACATCTCTCCCGACCTAGTATGTATACACCCCTCTGTCCGATCTGCTCCTTATCTCCTTGAGAGGTCATCCCTTATCATCCCCTCAAATTTCCATATTCTACTCATAACTCGTCCACGATGGCTGAATGTAACTGCTTATGAGCCTGACAAAGAAATCTGTCTTAGCCGAATAACTCGTATAGATGAAAAATACAGAATGTAACTAAAAAAGAAGAGTGTATTCCAAATAATTAATTATAACCAAGTGAAATACCTCTTATATTAGAATTATTATTTGTTGTTTTTGTTCTCTAACAAGGCTTAAATGGCTAATTTTCAATATATCTTCCTCTAAATATCACTTTCTTTAATTTTTTTTATTTGAAATAATTAACCAAAACTATTTCATAATTAACTTAAATATAACATTTGGAAGAATTTGATAATTAACTTAAAGAGAAATAAGAGATTATAATGAAGAATAATTGTAATAGAGAATCAAAGGAATTGGAGCGCACCCAAGCTTGCCCAAAACATTAGAACAGACTTCCATACATAACATGAGCTTAATGTAATATGGAATCTGACAATATTATATACATAAACATATACAATTTTCATAAATGCTATCATTTGTATTATTTCATATTTAATTGTATAGATTACAGTGATATAAAAATTTAAATTTTTATATATACCGGTACTTAAACAAATAAAAATACCCATAATGAAATATAAATAAACATAGTATATTGAAATATACAATTGTAAAAGGAAATAGCTAGTATAAACTAATAATAGTAGGAAATAACAAAGGAAAGGAAAAAGTATCAAACAAAATAAACATAATACATTAGATGGCTATGAAGAAGATATGATAATTAATTGTTTTAAATAATGTTTCATACCGTCTATAATTCTTAGTTTCACTTACCTTTGTCTGAAAATACTTATTTCTGTTAAGAAGAGAGTGGTAAGTGAAAATTGTGTGATTTGTGCACTACACCAGATTTTTTATGTTTTTCCATCCAGTTTCCACAAAACAGACATCTCCCCATAGCAGACAAAATTTGATTCTCCATAAGTGTCTGCTGCAGAGAAATTTTACTGATATTGGTTTTTTATTTACCTGACTCTTGTATCATTTACTGTATATAAAACTTTTTAATTACACTTACCTATATATGAAATATATAGTAAGGGAAAGTATTGAGATCGTGAAAATTTTCGAATCTGGGTTTTCAACAGAAATACATGTTTTAAGGTGCATTGAGTCGAAATAATCAACTCCTGCAAAATGGTCTGTGTGTGTATTAACAGTCTAGTTAAAAAAAAAAAGTCGTATGAAAGTGAAATTGCATATTTAAGGTTTTTATATCCTAGGGATGTTGCAGCAACTTTTTTCGTCAAAATCGGCTTACCGGAAGTGTCACTTTATATCATGGAATAAACACATTTTTATGGTTTTCTCGAAAAAGACTAAATATTTTGATTAAATTCATTATATCAGTGTAAAATTAAGCAATTTTAAATAAAATGTAGGTTTTATTCTGATTGATGTTCTCTAATAGGGTTTGAATGGCTAATTTTCAATATTAGCTTCCCCTAAAGTATTTTTAATTTTTTTTCATATGAAACAATTGACCATTTCACATTAATCTTTAATATAAAGGATAGTTAATTATAAAATATGAAAAAATAATTAAATAAAGGATAAATAAGAGAGTTTGTAACGGGTAATAGTTGTAATTGAGGAACCAATGGAATACAATCACACCTGAGCTCGCCTGAAAGATTGGAACACGCTTCCATACGTAACATAAGCTTACTATCAGTGCCGGCCTTGGGATGGGGCAATTGCCCCGGGGCGCCGACCGAACTTCAGGGGGCACTTGCCGCTTGTTAGAAATTTAAAAAAATACAAAACTTATTAAAATAATTAATTTTAGCCTATCAATATAGCAACTGTATGAGAGAAATGCGAAATGAAATAAAATTTAAATATTACATAATTTAAACAGCTTAAGAAATATTGAATACTTAATAGTTGACCGTTGTATTACTAAGGAAGGAGATGGTCCTGATTGGTGGTCATAAATAGACTAAATAGTAGCAAAAATATTTTGTTAAAAGCCAACATTTCAGTTCTAAGTGAAACTCCTTGCTGAACACACCTCTCTGCAGAAGACCTGCAAAGTCAGGTCAAAAAGTTGGCTTTTAACAAAATAGTTTTCTACTATTTAGTCTATTTATGACTGCCACCCCATCTCCTTCCTTAGCTTAAGAAATAATTTTAATTTTTTAGGGAAAGGGGAACATGACTTATTTGCCCGGGGTAAGATGAAAGTTGTGTGATGCATGCACCACACCAGATTTTTTTATGTTAATATAGGTCTTGAAAAAGAAGTTTGAATCAAATTTATTTTATTTTACCACTTTATAATTTACTTTAATGTAATTTATTTAAAATTGTAGGCTGTAAAAGGTGGAGGTATTGGAAACTGGAATTGGACTAGTCCCGAAGAAGGTGGAGCTGGAGAAGAGCGCTACAGGTTTAGTCTAGCAACTTTATCCTTCCCCCAGCCTACGTGTGTCGGTCTCGTCAGGCGGCGGGTTGGCAGAGGTGGCAGGTAACTACTTATTTAGATATTAGTAATCTATTATTTCTTATCACTATTATCTCTTTTAATAATGAATGTAAAATCATAATATCTTATTTGAACTTGATGATTTGTGTTTCATGTTTTATTATCATCTTATTTAATATGTTCTTAAATGGTCTTGCTCCATAAATTTAAGATAGAATTTGATACCTCAGTTTTCTTGTAAAACGGATCCTACAAGGTCAATCGGAATGACATTCCTTGACACAATTGACATTCCGATTGATTGTGTAAGGTTAAGAATGGTGTACTGGTGGACAAGATTGACAGATTTCTAAAAATCCTGAAATAAAAGCTTCAATCACGAGAAGTAGGAGGGACCACTGAGGTAAAAGTGGTGGGGAAACCAGCCTAACTACAAGGTAGGTTAGTTTACTTAGGCAGGCCTCTCAACCAATGTATATTCCTGATTTTCATTTAAAATAAATAGTTTTTCATATCCCTAGTTTATATTTTTATGAACGATCTTCAAAAAATTTTTTTAAAAATAATCCAGAGAGTGATACATTAAAAAAAAAAGTTAAAAACTAGATAATAATAATAATACAAAAAAAAAAAATAATAAAAAAAATATCATGGCTGGCAATCCTTGTGGAATGAGAGTCCGCCAAGCATGGAATCTTCGAATGAGGGATCTTTCAGATTTTCCTATATTTGGCTATTTTTTTATTTTATTTTTTACAAGTTTATTGAATAATCTGCACCTTGAAGGTAAAAAAACAAATAGGGCTAAAAGTGTTCATTTGCACAATATATTCATACAAAGATTAAGAAAAAAATAATACATTAGTGAAAAAAAATATATATAAATAATTTATGAACAGTTAATTATCAATAATTAAAAAATATAAATTTTCCCCTAAAAATAAAAAAATATAAAAAAAATATCATGGCTGGCAATTCTTGTGGAATGAGAGACCGCCAAGCTAAAAACTACATAATATACTTATAGAAAAAAAATCAATGATCTTTAACTGTTGTGTATGGTGTTGGTCAGTTCCGTTTTCCTTTTTTTTCCAACATATTTATTATTTTTTCAATATTTTTCATTAATTTTTGTAAGTAGTTGAGCTCGGGAGTGTCCATTCCACCCAAGGCCGATGCCACATAAACCTTCCTTCACTCCTGAGATATTTTATTCCTCTCTTCTTTCTTAAAAACAGTGAAAACGAAAGTAGAATTTGAATATTCGTAGATTATGTACCATTATACATCCTGTCTGTTCCATGGTTTCACTTGTCTTTTGATTTGAAAATTCATAAACCCGTTGGATTCTGCACCCCTCAAAAATTGAAAACCCCATCAAAAAGTGCCTCCTCAATAATTTTGATTGCACAACTTGAGACATGCCAACTCCCTTCTGAGTACTCCTGGTTAAGCTTATATTTTTCTAAATTTTGACCAAACAATTTTCAGAAACTAGAAAGTAATTAATATAGCTCCACTTTTCTTCTGTTGCCCAACACTATAAAGGATAATGGCCAAATAAGGTTTTTTAATGAAACACATTATGAATAGACAATTTACCAGATCCACGCTGCCTTTTATCTCCATGTCAACAGGGCTAAAACGTCATTAATCTGACTGACATGTTTAGGGTCCATTGTAATTGAAGTAATTCTTATTAGTCTTGTGAATTTCATTCATTCATGACTGTGTAGGGTAAAACATTGAGTTATGATTTGTGGCTTGATTTTTCTTGGATTTCTTTGCTTGTAGTTTTTTTCTACTGGCCTACGAACTCATAACTGTTGGTGTATAACATGTATCAGAGTGTCTATTAGACTTGAAAAAATGGGAATTTTAGAAGCTGGGCGAAACAAGCACAACTTAGCTGTTATAATTCAGAATCATTATTGGCTTCAATAAGTTTTCAGTGATATCTATACACATTTATATGATGAGATGTTCATAGATTTGTCATGATTTTTTTCTCTCTTTCTGTCCCCTTAGTGCTGTCATCAACCGTGTAAGTAGCCTCTTTCTGTCTCTTGTTGATATCTCTAACCAAAGCCATTTTTCAGGGTCAATCCATTCGGCAACCACGTTTTCATCCGTGCCCATATGTATATAATGTAGTCATTATAGGTAGCTATTAGTCTACCAAAAAAGTGTGCTTTCCTATTTGCCTTGCTTCCATCATCTAGTCATCAGTCATCTCTTATCCTACAAACATGGCCAAACAATTTTCACTACACTATCGCTCTTCAAGGACTTCAATAACAGATCTTTCTCTTAATGTGGCAGGTATACTGTTATTTTTGATACTGCCTCAGATGTTTCTTCAGGACCTTCCAATTTTCTGACCCATACAGAAATGCAGGCAAGTTATAGGTGTAACTTCATCTCGTTTACCAATTAGCGCTGAAGATATTTGGAAGAGTACACCATAAGCGTTTCTTATTCTGTTTAGTATCTCTTGGTCTCTCGATTTATTATTTTTTTTTAAATAAAAAAGAGTGTTAGCTTTGTTGAATAACTTTAATCTTTTCTCTACTGCAAGTGACAAGCTTTACATCTATCACAGCACTAAGTGAGATGGCTGCCTGCCTACCAGCCCATGCTACATACTTTTTATCTGCGTCCATCCTTCGTTACCGGCCTTTTACTACTGTCTGTTAACCTGTTTTATTTTTCCCATCTCCCTTTTTGATTCAGACTGAGGACTGACACTGGCAGAGTAAAAACAAGAATAAAAATGGTCGAGACAGCCAGAGAAAAGCCATAGCATGTAGTCACCCCCAACAGTTCATGAATTCTACAAGAAAAGCTCAAAAGTAAATCTACACGCCATCTATAGGCTCTAGTTATGCTTTATTTTACTAGGAAACCAGTAGAATGAAGCCAAATCGCATTGGCTATTCTCAAATGAAAAGCAATGCTTTGACATATGCCATCGTTAGCACTGAGGGCAGGAGTGGGGTGCGTCAGCATATGCCGTTATTAGCAACTTGGGCACGTTCTGTTGTGTTGGCATGTACCATTCTTACCATTTAATTTTTTTTATATTTTTACGAACTTAAATACATTAAGAATTAATACATTTTTTAAAAACCTTTCAGTGTTGGGGATTACAGTATTTAAAATGTTGAATATTGTATCTATTATGTTTTTAACGTCAGGAGCCATCTTTCTATCTATCTATCTTTTTATTTCCTGGTCTCAAACTATTGAATTGAATTGAAAAGTAAGAAAAGAATATATAAGTAGAGAGACCTTGTGCAAGAATATAACTATCCCTGCACAAATGTTTTAAGACATGTTTATCTTAAAAGTCTTGACTTCTTCACCACTGGTTTCTCTTCCAATCTTCTTGGTCCCACTACGTCTACCACACTCCACATCTGATTTACAACTTAGATTAATAAACCTATTTTTTATTTTCTTTGCTCAATTTTTAGTTGTATGTGTTTTACATTTGTTTAATTTTAATTTGTATTGATTTTATTAATTTTTTTTATAGGGTTATCCTTGACCGGGCTGGACCCTCAATGGATGACTATTGGTCTTCGTTAGACTTCAAAATTCAAGATAGTGCCAGTGGACCTAAACCTCCAATACCGTGCGTAATTTTTTAATCTCACATCGATCATAGTATTTTCTGTACTGTTTACTGATACATTTTGGAAAATCCAAAGAGATTACGTAGTTTGTTTGCAAAATTAATTATATAATATGTTAATTATTCAAACGTTTATTTTTAACGGAAAGATTGTGGAGTGATCTAACAATTGTAATTATTATTCTTTACTGATTTTGATAAAGTCTAGCCTGAACATCATCAGTAATATTGATTTTAATGATATTTGAAAAAATGTTTCATGTTTAATTTTCACTCAAATTTCTTAGTTTATGTACATAGATAATTTATAATTCGATGTATAACACTATGTGTTCATGAAAATAAATTGAATACATTTTAATAATGTAAAATAACAATTATAGTATCATTATTTCTAAAAAACTTTTGTTTATTTATTTGCATACCTATTCAGAAGTCATGTAAAGTTGGTTTAATAATGAATTGGATTATAACGTTTTATTTTCTATTGTTTAAAAATACTATTTGATTATGGTAATGAAACCTCAATTTATTTTATTTATTATTATCAATTTTAGTTGTTGTAACCTTTGGCTTGATATTTATTTCCGCTTTGAGTCCAGATTATGTAACTGAGTTAAATATAACCCCAAATTGTATTTCAGAAGGTAGCAACAATTTTATTTGTTATCTTAATAGATTTTTTTTTTAAATTCCACTTATTTAATTTTTATTATCTAAATTGTTATAAATCATTGTTTCGAACCTTTTGCACTTTTTAAAATATTATTTACATTGTTGAAATTTCAATATAGTATATATTTAAATTATAACATGTAATATATCTTTTTAAAATAATAGTTTACTAAGGAATGAAGGAGATGGTCTGGGGTGGCGGTCATAAATAGGCATTAATAAAATAGTTTTGCCACTATTCAGCCTATTTATGACCGCCACCCCGGACCATCTCCTTCCTTTATAATGCAACGGTCAACTATTAAGTATTCAATTTAACTAAGGAATGTTGGGAGTTAACTTTGTTATCCAATTTTATTTTCGATATCTGTATGAATTAAATTTTTTTTTTTTGTTTAGAAATTTGTATTTTATAAGTTGTGTTAAATTTAAGTTTATATTAATATTTATTGGATAATGTTTCTAATTTTATTGTTTAGATGTTCACGGTACTATAAACCTAAGCCACCTTGCGATCCTTCCCCTGCTGTTACGGAAGCAGAGGACGATTTGAAGTCAGGATCTATCTGCCTAACTGTTGAATCATTAACAGATTGTGAATCTACGACGGTAGAATTAGATCTTGGCGAGCTGTTTCCAGATTTGGAAATACCAACCTCCGGATCGACAGCTAGCATGATCATCGACCCCCCAGCTGAAACGGGTTCTTCGAGGTTTTTGTCAGATCCTGCTGCAGCGATAGCAGAAAGGTTACAACCTCCTCCACCTGCTACTACCCAAAATGGACCTACTAATCACAGCGATTGTAGGTTATATTTTATTCTTATACATATATATATCTTATATTTTAAAAAGTTTTCTTGATAATTATAGTTGATTTGTTTTGAAATATATCTGAATTAATATTTAAAGTCACTCTTTTGTCATGTTCAAATTTGAATATATGAGTAAACGTGCTACTAACATGGCCAAGTGTCCCCACTCTGCAGATTCTTAATAAGTGTGCAAAAACTGTTTACCTTGGATAAAATTCCTTACTGTTTTTGCATTAAGGTTGGGCAGCAGACACCTCTACATTCTCTAATTGAAAGAAATTAAATTATAAAAAACATAGTTTGTCCTTTTTCTTAAGTAAATATAGCATTATCTATTTATTTTGTTTATAAAGATACACACTTTTCTAAGTTGTGAATATCTTTCATAGATGGTGGTAGTGGGATTTGGAATAGCAGTGGCTGTAAATGGAGTAATAGCGTTCCGGGTAATGGTACGGCGAACACCTCACCAGTCCATCTTAACACAAAATACGCATCGAGAACATCGACAACGACACAGCTCAATAGGTGCGTTATATTTTTGTTCAATTTTATATCTTTTTAATAAAATTTATAAATAGGATAAATTCTATGGTAAAGTTGTGTTTGGAAATTGTGGAGGTTACATTGAGAAGGTTATGAATTAATAAAATTTATAAACAGGATAAACTTATGTGGTTAAGTTGTGTTTCAAACATTTTAGGTTATTATTAAAAAAATTAAAAGTTTCTACGTTAAGATTCCTATTTAATTATTAATTATATAAATAATTCAATGAATAATCTAGGGCCTAGATGGAAAATCTTGTAGATCATTAGAGGCAGCAGTAATGTTAGGTAGTGATAATAATGGAGGCTGTGATAATTGTTTATATTTTATTATTTCTAGTTTTATTAATAAGTGAATAGATATCTATTTACATATATTTGACTTAATTCTATTGATTTTCAAATTTTTGCAACTTAAATAAATTAATTCTAGCGCTAGATTAATGAAGACTACTCAAAAACGTTTGGAGGCCACAGTTGTGATCTAAGTGTTTGAAATAGTTAGAGAATTTCAAAACCCCTTAGAAATCACCTATTTAATATTAATTTAGTTGCTCGACATTTTGGATTTCTTTAATTTTTTTCTTAACCAGTTATTCCATTTTTAATGCAGAGTTCTTAACTGTAGTTAAAAAAAAAAATATAAAGGCTTACACTTTTTACTTCCCTACCTATATTAGTTAAGAAAAGTATTGCGATAGGGTCAAATTTCCAATATGCGGTTTTCGAAGTATCTGTACATTTCAGACCCCTCTGAGTTCGAAAAACACGGTTTAGCCTGTTTTTTTGAAAGGTAATGAAATTCCCTACAAAATTATATAAAAATTGTTCATTTCAGATACCTATTAACAAAGTTATAGCTATTAAATTTCCAATGTAAGATTGCGGGTTCATATGCTGTTGTCAGAAAGGGTTGAATGAGAGAAAACCGATAACTAAGTGAAAGTAAGAAAATCTGTTTTATAGGTTGATAAATTATATCTAATAAATAGATATGGCCATCAGATATTTCATGATCTTGGTTTGAAAAGGTTCTAACTAACAAAGTTGGGCAAATAGAGTTTTCACTCAGAAATCACTCACAACAAAGTTATCTATGCTTCAAATAAATTTTATTTCCATCAGTTGGAAAATAAAAAAAACTTACAATGCGACATATTTCTAACTGCAATGGTACTTGATTTATAGTTATTTTAGTGAGCGTAAGACATGAAATTATATCATTTATTTTATTAGTAAAGATCTGCCCTATGTGTTTAACATATTTGAATCAGTTATTTCATAAATGACATGTGTGATATTATCATCAGTTTTAGAAAAAAATAATAATATATATTTGTTATACTAAAATTTAAGAAAATAAAAAATCTTGAAAATAAATATATAGTTTTAAAAAGCAAATTGAACATTATTTCTGTTAGGTTTTAACAATGTGTATATCATTAGATGATCACATTTTTTTTTTTTTTTAAGTTTAAATTTTACTCTGGTGTTTCTGCAAAAAAAAACAACATATTTCTGTCCATTTTGTTATTTTTTCTTTAATTTAACCACATGGACAATGGTTTAAAAGTAAGGTATTACTTCTGAAATGAATAAACCTATTTCCTTTAACTTAAAAAGGATAAAATAATTTAATAAATCACTTTGTTAAAAAAAAGGGAGAGATAGAATAAAATATTTTTATTTAATTCAACTTTTTGATTCTATGTAGGCTTCATTAAATCTATCCACCTCAAATTTTAGAGTAGTTTATATATATATATTTTTTTACCAATTTAAGATATAAGAAAACAGTGAAAGTAGAATTTTTCTTATATAGTTTTGGATTCTACGTATGTTGTTGTATGTATATTCTATGTGTTCGTTAAACATTAAACCCTAAATTCGAAGAGAGTTTCTTCTTGGTTGATCAGAAGGATTTATTATTGAAAATATTCTGAAATGGTAAAGTTCTAACTCTAAAATTTAAATATTCAAAATTATATTAATAAGTGGTACAATTAAGTCATCAGCGAATGCAAGTATAAGTTCACTGCTTCAAGATATTGTTCAAATAAAAGTGTTAGTCTAAGTAACAAAATATCCATACTACAGTAAATGGTAACTTTGAAGCTCTGTTTCTCAAAATTATAGTAAATGCAGTTAGAATCTTTTCAAACCAAGGGCATGATTTGTAGCTGATTAAATGTGATTTGGGTATTGAGTTATTGTTTGGATATAACATATGGTATTGAGGTTATATATGCGAATACATAAAATTAGGTGCTTGGTATCTTGACAATACATAGCAGCCTGTCATGTTATGCAAGTTTGCGTATTAATAGTATTTAAAACAACTGAATTGCGAACTGTTGCGGCAACAATTAAATAAGCAAAGTATTACCTGTTTATAAATTAATAGCTAAATATGTGGTTGAGATTGGTGTGCAAATAATAATGGTTATCGTTGTCATATTATAAATAATTTCTATATAAAATTAATAGAGTTTATACCTTATACAACCTGAAGAAGCTAGTTGGTCTTGTAGAAGACAGCAGTTCTTTGTGTTCATAAAACAGAAGTGGAGGGTTCAATAATGTAGAAATCAGTATTTATAAAAACATGATTAAAAAAAAAAAATCATTTTTACGTGCCTGAAACTTATAAGAAGAAGTTTTTTCTTTATTTATGTTTATATTAAACTTTTTGTTTATATCAACATCAAATCTTTTAATAAATAAATTGTAGGGACATAAAAAATTCAATAATTTCGCAATTAGAAAAAAATAAAAGGAATCCAGATCAAAGCAAAAAACTAATTAAAGCAAGTGGACACTTCAGTAGCTCAGAGTAAAATACATGCTTGTTTGAAAGAACGAGTAATGACTTTGCAATAATTATAATATAAGTAAATAGAATTATTAGCAAAAAAAAAAAAAAAATACTATATTCAATCAACAGTGAGTGCATGGAGAGAAGAATACATGGCAACTGGCATGGGTGGCAGAGTTGCTAATTGCATGGCCTTCTTCATTTACCACATTCAGTTGTTTATACAAAAATTATAAACATGTCATTTCACTAAAACATGACTCGTAATCTATTGTAAATTACACAAATAAGAAAAAAAAGATAAATAACGATAGGGACCAAATATTTAGTGATAGCATTATAACAGTAGTGGTAGCGTGGTCAAACACAGAGGTAAGGGAGGGGGGAGGGTTGCCTTGCCTGCTGTATTTGAAACATCTCTTAGAAACATGTTCATTTAGTTTTGTTTATTATTCATCCTGAGAAAAAAAGTTATGTCTGTAGTTGTTTTATAATAATTAATTTTTTTTTATTTAATGGTATATAGCACAGGTAATGGTAGGACCGCGCCCTCCAAATGTCATTTAATTATTTAAATAACGACAGTTAGGACATTAATAGAATTAAGTTGAATGTATGTATGTGGGTTGTGTGTATTTAGTGATAAATAAAAATAGCAACAGTAAAATATAAAGAATATTGCGCCCTCCATTAGCACTGCCTAACCTTATGGAAGCCTCTGATGATAAAAAGATTCTCCACCTATGGTACATAGTAATATTTATATTGTAATATCCCTCTTATATTTTACAAATAATAATAATATAACCTCGGAAGCTCACTTCTTACCATTGGGATACTTCCTAAATAAATAAGAGGTTGTTTAATAATAAACAAAATTATAAGAGAATTAATATATTTATTTATCTGAGGTGTGGGTTACAGAAATCAGATCAACTCAGACAAACTATTATTATTTATACTAAACAATGTTTGATTTTAAAATAAAGTCAAATATGGATTGGCAAGCTAACCATTTTTCTACAGATAATATTTCTTCCTTTGTTGCACTAAATTCATTTGTCTTCAAATGGTTTCTAATGTTCTGTCAAACACATATCACCAAAATGGTAACACTATTCTTCTACTCAACTCAAGCTCCCTGGGAAATCCTCTCTCTTTTAATTCCAAATAACTATTCTCCCTGCCAAACAAGATCTTCTAAGATAGTAAAACTTTTACTGGGTTTTACCCACTGGAGCCAGAATCACTTCTCCCATCCTCTCTTCACTCCAGCCAAACACCAACTACCCGCCAAAACAAAAATCTTTGTCCCTCTACTCTTTGGAATTTTCCTTCTTGGGAAACTACTGAGCAGCCATTTTCTTTTCTCTGCCCTAGTAGAACTAGATTAGCTTGCCTTTTAATTGTTAAACATTAATTTATTAAACCCTTTTTACTCACTTCCAATAAAGGTGTACATTACAATATATTATTTCTCAAAGATGTTATTTTGTCAGTACACCATGTCATCATTAATTCTACATCAAATTCCAATGATTGAGCACTCATTTTGAAAATTTTCTTCTCCTCCAGGCTAGAGAAATAGTTATCTCCCCACGAAATTTCAGAAAATATGAATGAAAAGAAATTTTATTTGCGAATAACTCAAAAAATATACAATTTATTGTGGATTGTACCCATGATTACTTAAAAGATTACTTAATTCTCTACAAACAAAAAAAATCATCAAATTTTGACGATTATTAGCAAAGATACAGCTTATTGTTATCTTTAAGCATGGATAAGATTTAAAAAATATTTTTTGGTTAATTACAATTACCGAGAAAATAAAAATTGATTCCTCCATCTTTTGATATGTTACATTATTTTGTCATTTGTTCACGGATCGATGTACTATGCTAATTATTCGAACAGGTCAACTAGTTGTTTATTTTTAAGATGGTTCTTTATCCCTTATTTTACTTCTTTACACTTTTTTGACTGACGTTTTGGACTGTATGTCCATTTTCATGAACTTTATAAAAAAATTTATTAATTTTCTATTTGATTGATTTGCTATTTCTTCATAGAACATTTTTTCTATATTTTTTCTTTTGTTAATTTTTATTTCAAATTTGTTCTGTATATTTCAAATGTGTAACTTTACACTGAATGAAAAATTA